TGGTAGATTTGCTGCTGTGGGATCTTTGTCATGTGCATGGCCGAGTTTAGGCCAAGCTTTAGCTGTCAAACAAATGACCTCACAAGTGACTTTGGCACAAAGAGCAGGAACAGTGGCCTCAACACAAGCACAAATCATCGCCCCTCCATCACCATGCTGACCATTATGATTTGGTATTGCATTTTATTCTTAATGCACAATTTGACCTTGAGGTGAATTTGCCCACCAGCAAACTGCCAAAACATCTGCTTTTATCGAGATGCTCACATTCTCTGATTATCAATTAACTAAATGCTTTTGATTAGCAGCACCTGGCTTCTACATAATCTCTTCCAGTTCCAGTGGAATAAGCATGAGTTGACAGAGTCTTCTTAGTTTTGTAGGTAAATCCCAATGCAGTTGACAGTTACAATTAGGAATGCAATGCAGCAGCATGCAACAAAAACATCACTTTATAAAGACTACTGCAACAGACAGTCAGGAATTATATCAGTCTTAGGTTTTGTTTTTCGTTTATTTTTGTGAATGTTTCTTAGGTGTAGAAGAAAAGTGCTTTGAGTGCTCAAGTACCAAAGACTTACATAAGAACCTGTCCATTTCATATTTTTATTTACTGTAATAAAATGTGTATATGTACCTAACATTTTCATGAGGATAATGTAACTAATTTAATGCTACAGGTGTCTCCTTTAATTGAAGGTATTAAAACAAGGTAAATAGATGAAGGAAAAGCACTCGAAAGTTAAGTCATGACAGTGACATTTTATTAGTTATTTCCAAGACTTTTCTTTGTTTGTTCGAATGGAGACAGTCCAAATTGAATATTGTTTTTCATAATGTGCACAATAGATAAGCTAGAACATATTACAATTTTTGTAAAATAAATAAATAAATAAAAAGTTTTCAATATTTTGCATTAATTAATAAAAGTTCTCAGCAACTAAAACAAAAACAAAAAAGATTATAAAACAAGTTCTGCAGACAAGAAACAGTCAGTCTGCTGAAAATGAAAGTGGAAAACTATTCATCTAATTATTTGTTTGTAATAAATAAATACTTTCATTAAAAAACAATGTTTCTTATTCCTTTCCACTGTAATTTGAAGTGATTTTTTTTCACTGAATTCTTGTTTTCTTGAGTTTGATGTTAGCTGCGTGTTCTGTTATAAGGAAGTTTGTTGCATGCATCCTGCTTATGTTATTAATTATTCATCAGCACTTCAAAAGGATAAATGCACAGCACAACATTTTCCATTATTTATGGGTCTCCAGATCAAGTCTCTTTAGCTCTTTAAAACTTGAGGCAGTCACGTTGAGTATCAAAGGAAATAAACAAAGTCAGATTGTGTAGGAAAGATTCTGATTTACAGCCTCTGAAGATTACATCCTAAAAGGAAGGACTGTATTAACATGTTTTATTATTGGTATACCCAAAGCTGTGACTGTAAGATGTTCCCTTGCTGTTTGATTTAGCTGCATAGTTTAATTTCAAAGTGTGCTAGAGGTGCAGGACAGTGTACATAAAGGCTGGTGTTTTCACACAATACCGCTGCTACTGCCTATTAGTTTAAAAAAAAGTCTACTGTTTGTCAGCTACTGCTGCCAAGGGATTTAACAAGGCACACAGGAAGTCATTTTAAATTAACAGCAATTTTATATGCTTCCTTTTTTTTAGATTAGAAATGGACCAACAGTGCAATTTCTATTAGATTCTTGTGTCAGTATAACCTTGTGCTAAATATAAGCTGAGCTTCCGGCCACTCGGTGTACTGTATTGTTCCAAATTGTAAGTCTAACCCTTCATTCAAAATATGCAAATCAGCTCTGATTAATCTCCTTGTCACTAATCCTCACAGTTGATCCCTTCCAGAGTGGAGGGTCCAATTTGCATATCTCATTTTGCATCTACTCTTTTCTGATGGAAAGCCGGTAATTATGGTTCAAGCTTGCCCCGCTGCTCTATTAGTGAATAAACGTGATCTGCCAGTCACAGCATGAGCCACAAAGGAATTTTAATCACCCCCTGACCCTGGCCCTCGTCAAAATGTATTAAGCCCATGAGGACTGAAGCTTAGATGTTTATTCAACTATGTATTTCAGCATGGGTTTGTCTTTCAACACCTGGTGATGCTCTTTTATTTCCTTTTCTTTTTGGTTGCAATCATTTAAAATAAAGCATTTGAATGACAAGACAAATTGTAAGTTAGTCTGCTTGATTTTTAACCTCTGTCAAAGTAGTTAAAAATTTCTTCTCATAACATTAAAACCTGTTTAAAAAGCAGGGGACACATACTTCATGTTTTCAATCCACTCTTGTGTAAATGTACTTTTTGCAGGCAATTCAGATCACATTCAGATCACATTCAGATCACACATTTCCATATTTGGAGGCAGGGTGGGTTGCCATGACGTAATCCACTCAATTTAGCTGTGACTCCCAAGTTTGAGATAATTTTTTAGGGCTTGAGATGTGGTGCCATAAAACCTTTTCTTGCCTTTGGTCAAAATTGAGTTGGCTTGCATTGCGCTCTGTCCAACATATCACTGTCACTGTGCAATGTAATACATGCATAAGTCCCTTTAACCCTGTGAGCTCAAAGTTATAAGTTAGTAACTAACCCTACCATGATTTGAAGACCAGTAAAAATTTCATCTTTAAAAAATTATTTTTTTCATGAATGGCATTTTTCTTTTCTTTGCATATATATTCTCTGCATATTCTGGTAGAGTTGGGGTTGGGGTCAGCATGGGCAGTAAATAATTATTTAATGTGTGTGAAGGTGGAAACAGGGTATAGCATGCAATTTAAACATGTGCTCCTAAAATAACAAGGTAAGAAAATACCATGTAGTGCCTCTTATGACAAGGTAAACAGCTATTGATGCAGTGATTATTGTATCTTAAAATGACTGGTTGCTTGCTTTCAAATAATGTATAATTTAAATTACAATTGAAAATACAGCAGTACATGTTTTTCCTTTTCTCAGTGCATAATCAAGCCAGGAAGTGTTTGTTGATTTAGAGCACAACAACCACTCCAAATGGAAGTTCTGATTGAACTTCCTTTTAAATTACTTCCCTTTCTTCTTGGGTTAAATTAAACTACTGCCAGTTCACTGTTGATTTACATTATAGTTTTCATTCAGATTATCTTTCCACAGTTTATGTGCTGTAAAAGTATAACATAATGACACAAAACACAATAGCAATAACAAAGTTCAGATGATTAGCTTTCTTTACTCATTCTGATTTTATTTCACCGAACATACGTTTCTGCTCTTCCTTCCTTTCTAATTTCACTTTTGTCACTTCTTCTTCCCATGCTACCGAAAGCCTCATATTCACCTTTTTTTCTGTCAGAGTTTCCCGAGGCAATATATCGCTGGTTGTTGCGCTTTAAATATCATTATATTTCTGTCATTTCTGTAACTTTGCACAAATCCTCCTCCATGTTCTGGAAGATGTCACATGAAGTTTCTGTTGATAATCTTTTGGCTTTAGTCCTGAACCACAAGCATCTA